TGAGGGGATTCTGCAGACTGTTGAGGGTTCAGCCTCCTGATGAGTCGGTGAAACTCCGACGAAACAGTTTGTCACAGCCCCTCGTTTGATGTCCTTTTCTCTCTCTCTGCCTACGGTTTTACCGGGCAGTTCTGTTTGTGACGATATATATATATATATATCGTATTTTATAATTTTTTATCTGCAACACACAAACAAGAAATAATCATTCAAATACATTTGTTAGTTTTTGATTTTTTTTTTTAATAAACTTGTTTTAAAAAAAAAAAAAATTGTAATGAGCAAAGGTTACACAATTCAATAAAGAAAGAGAGGAGAAAGGTAGAAAAATAAGAGGGGGGGGAGGGAAACTTAAGGAAGAAACACTCAATTTAAGATAAAGCACATAGGATATTGAATGTGGTTATTGTTGAATTTAGATGAAAAGTTGTGCAAAATAAGTTATTATGATTAAAATGAAGGCAGATGTGAGTTAGGTGAAATAGGACAATTGAGTATTGTAATGGTTTGCTACACAATATCAGACCTTGCTTTCATAATGGTACGAACATGAACATCAAACCTTCTCCACATACTATCGAACCTTGAGTTCATGGTTTCAAATTTGATAGTACTACCAACAGCAAATGCTATTCTCATACTATCAAACCTTGCCTATATAGTTTCAAACCTTGGTTACATAGTATCTAACCCCAACTACAAAGTAGCAAACGTCGGCATATAATATCAAACTGTTCCTAAATCAAACAAAATATATATATATAGAGAGAGAGAGAGAGGGAGAGACAGAGGGAGAGACAGAGAGAAAGAAAGAGAGAAAGAGAGAGAGAGGGAAAAAAGAATATATTTATGACATCTATGCGTAATAAAAGACTACTTAGTTACGATTATTAAATCTAACAACAATTTTTTTGCTAAGTAGCTAGATTTGTTTTTTTCATGACTGCAATTTTTTGTTTTGCAGTTAAGGAGTCTTAGATTTCATTTGCATTTTCGTCTTTTGTTGACTCCTACAGTCTTCCCCCGAACAAAACACACGTATGTACTATTCAAATCTCTGGAAAAGTCGATTTCTTGAAGTTCCCCCCCCGAAATTCAAATAGTACGCACGTTCGAGTAGTGCGCACATGTGTACTATTCGAATAGTACGTACATATGTATTATTCAAACACACGGGTGTTATATTCAAACACAACATACGGTTGTACTATTTGAATGATCGTGGGCACGTGCTTCGCTCTAGATTGAGCCCCCGTTTTTTGTCAGCAGTGTACATTTACTTGAGTGGACGTTTTTTTTTTTTTTTTTTTCCAAACAAGCATAATATATTTCCAATCAGAATTTGAGGTCGGGGTCCTCACAGTCTATCCGGAGTTGGAAAAGGTTGGGTGGACAGGGTAACCAAAGGGGGCGTTACCCCCCGATTATGAGTTAGTTGAGTAGAAGGATTGTTTGTCTTCTATTCTTCTTTTTTTTGTTTTGTTTTGTTTATTTTGGTTTGTTTTCTTTGGTTTTATCCCTCTGGCAGTGTAGGTCTGTCAGTTCAAGTTTCTTTATTCTTTTTGGTTGATTCAGGCAGGAAAGAGTGGTCCTGCATTTTTTGCAATTGTCTGCTGTCTTTTTGGGTTTGTATATTTTGTTGGCTCGGCCAAGTGTTGTTGAGTGTATCCCACATCTCCTCCTGGGTTATGGTCCAGTGGTGACAAGTACTCTACTTTTTGGGTTGTTTGTGAGGAATTCCCGGCCTCATCGTTATTTTCATGATAATGGACTCCTGGCTTTTCCCAAAAAAAAAAAAAAAAAAAAAAAAAAAAAGGAAAAGGCTGGGAGCATTACCCAGTTTCACCTACGGGGATATTGCTCCGGAGGGGACCAACCCCCTTGAATAATCTGAAAAAAAACAGCTCAATCTAAGTGATCCCAGCTTTCAGGCCCTCTGACAAAGATATGAGAAACAACTCAATCTAAGTGATCCAGCTTCCAGGCGCTAACTCGGGGGTGGAACTCTTCAGTTCCTTACAACTTCGTCGGCACTCGATGCAGCCCCATCTCCCCACCTACTTGAGTGGACTTCGAACGGCCGAAGCCAGCACTTAAAAAAAAAGTTTGAGTCTTTTTTTTTTTTTTTTTTTTTAACAACCCAGCTCCATCTATTGGTGGGGAGCATCACCTGCTGAAAACCGGGTCCAGCATCCCTTATACAATGTAAAAGAGAATTGGTTGAGAAAAGTTTGAAAAAAGGGGATCTCTACTGATAGTCTGCCAGCATTGATTACCCTGAAGCCAGGGGATTAATTGAGCAGGAACAGCGTCTCTTAACAATGTAAAACAGAATTGGCTGAGAGAAGTCTGAAAAAAAGGGACCTCAATTGATAGCCTGCCAGCATTGATTACCCTGAAGCCAGGGAATTAACTGAGCAGGAACAATGTCCCGTATACAATGTAAAACAGAATTGGCTGAGAAAAGTCTGAAAAAAAAGGACCTCAACTGATAGCCTGCCAGCATTGATTACCCTGAAGTCAGGGAAGAACGTTTAGAGTTACACGGTGTTTTTGTTATTCCCCCCCCCCCCCCCCCCCATAAAACTATGGTAAATATTGACAAAACTCTAATGAGGCCAGAATCCTCACAGTGACCCGGAGAAACAGACACGCTGGGAACATTGCCCACTTTTGCTTACGGTTTCGCTTACCGGGCAGAGACCCCATGGGGACCAGCCCCCGGAAACAAATGACGATAGTGCACATCACAACACAGCAACCTCCCGGGCACCGGACCGATAGTCCCAATAAACCATTCCCTCTCCCTCGTGCCCCACTTACCCACTTTCTGCTACCCTCCTACTGCGGAGGTAGAACCGAGCAACCAGGTCTTTCTACACAGTTTAGGCAAGCAAGAGAGAGAGAAGGGAAAAAAAAAAAAAAAACTTAATGTGAACCTTTGGAATGACTTGCAATGCAATGTTTAACGTGGAATGCTTCAGTTTAGTGTGCGACGTGCCAGTTATAAAACTTTTAATGTGCAATGCAGCAGTTTCATTCCCCCCCCTCCCCACACAAAAAATCAGCTTTTCTTAAGGGTCATGTGAGGCTCCCCACGAGTAGATTGGAGCAGTTGTCCAAAGAAAAAAAAAAAAAAAAAAAAAAAGATAACTTAAGGCTGGGGTCCTCTACATCACATCCCAGAATAAACCATTTTACCGGAACCATCATCCAGTTTAGCTTACAGGCTGAAGAGCCTGTAGGTCTTTCTCCACAGACCCAAGCAGCCCTCTCGCTGCTGTAATTTTCAAATTTTCTAATTGGAAGCTCCAGCTCCAAGTTGTCCTACAACTTCAGCACATAGAAACTATCGGCATACACAAGATCAATTATGGTCGTAGCGTCTGGTTGCTCAAAAGTCCGGTAACTTGAGGCCTCCCCGCTTTGGATGCGAATAGTCACATTATGGATCTCAGTGATGGCATAAGCTATGTATTCCTCATCACAGTTCGCACCCGACGCAAGATCAGCAAAGTTCGCATCGTCAGTGATGTCAGCAAGGACTTCCATGGCCTTCATGTGCTTCACAGTGTTGGACCGGAACTATGCAGAAGTAATAGACGGTGCTCTACCCAACACAGCCTGACGAAGGCATTGCCAATAACTATTTGGTTGACCGTCAATCACATCCTCAAGAATGCAGTACTCCGGGGCAATGAGCAAATGTACTTTCACAGTGACAGGTGCCTCAGCAAACTCTTCCGCATACGCATCATTCCAGTCATCTATTTTGACCACATTATTGTACAATGCTCTCAGTGGCGGGTGCAGCTTCTCCACATCAAAATCCTCCTTGCGAACTAAACCACACATTGCGAATGCGTGTGCGATATCCTCCTTCGTCTTCGTTTTTGCCCACTGACAAACCCAATCTACAACCATCTGGTATGTCGGGGTCTTCGGATCGCCCGCCTTGGTCTGCAAGGACGGGTTCTCCAAAGCGTTGGAGATGTATGCATCGTACTGGCGTCCATAAGATTGTTGGAAAGACCGATTCACAGCAACATCAAGAGGCTGAAGAATAGCCGTCATGTTGGGAGGGACAATACAAACATGGATGTTCATCTTCTCCAACCTTTCACTCTCAGCCACCTTCAAATGAGGTCCATAACTATCGATGATCAGAAGAACAGGCTGGCGGCTAAATGCCGTCTCTTTCCTTGATGCTATTGTGTCGTTGATGAATGAGATGATTGTGTCCGTACTCCACATCCCTGTCATGTTAACATCAACAACCACAGACCCTTCCACTGCTGGCTTGTTCTTCAACTTCGTGAAAAGAAGGTGAGGCTTCAACATTTCACCAGTGATAGAGATGGTGAAAGTGACGGTGAAGCGTTTGTGTGAGCTGCTTGCTTTGCGCATCAGCACCTCACGTGTCCCTCGCTTTGCGATTGTAGATGAGGGCTCTGTCTCGAAGTAGCGCGGGACCTGATCCATATTGAAAATGTTAACCGGGGAAATGTTATGCTTGTCAATGACGCTGTGGATTTCGTCAATGAAAGCTCTGCATGTGTCTGCAGCATCGGAAGGCAAGGTCCTTGAGGTTGTGTGTCGTCGTGAAACAAACCCCTTTCGGCGCTTAAAGCGTGCCATCCAGCCCGTCGACCCATCGAAGACCGCACCCTCCTCCACCTCTCCCTTCTCCTTCTCCCAACTTATAAATCAGTCGAGCTTTCGCCTGTATGTATTGATCTCTAACTCTCAGCCCGCTTTTGTTCTTCTGCAAAACCCTCTGCTCGAGCTGCTCCTCCAATTCCTCATGCACAGGCTTCCGCCCCCCACCCCCAAGCCGGCGTTGTGTTCTACTGTTCGTCATTGTGTTTTTCAACGCTTCCTCCAACTTGTCTTTTTGCGCGACCCACTTGCGCAGTGTGGACTTATCGACCCCAAATCTCCTCCCAACAATGTCGAACCCTTTCCCTTTAACACCCGGCACATACTCTTTGACTATATCCAACTTCGCCTTGATGGACCACGACTTCCGTTT